AGTGTCTGCTAAATGACTAAAAATGTAAGTTATTTACTGTGGTATGTTTTGTGAAGATAGAGTGGATCGCATGAAAATACTGACATGAGATTTTCAAAAGAGTCCACTAATTCAGCCCACTGCACAGATCTATGATTCCTTAGAATTATACTGAACAAAAATATAAACGCATCATGTAAAGTGTTAGTCCCATGTTTCATAAACTGACATAAAAGATAGCTAGCTATATGCTATATAGCAGACGCTTTTATCCAAAGCGACTTACAGTTATGCGTGAATACATTTTTAAAAGCCTGGGTGGTCCCGGGAATCAAACCCACTATCCTAGCACTGCAAGAGCCATGCTCTAACAGCTGAGCTACAGAGATCCCATATGCACATGCCTGTTAGTGAGCATTTCACCTTTACCTAGATAACCCATCCACCTGACAGGTGTGGCATATCAAGAAGCTGATTAAACAGCATCATCATTACACAGGTGCACCTTGTGCTGGGGACAATAAAAGGCCACTCTGAAATGTGCAGTTTTGTCACACTACACAATGCCACAGATGTCTCAAGTTTTGAGGGAGAGTGCAATTGGCATGCTGAAAGCAGGAATGTCCACCAGAGCTGTTGCCAGAGAATTGAATGTTCATTTCTCTACCAACATCGTTTTAGAGAATTTGGCAGTACGTCCAACCGGCCTCACAACCGCAGACCACGTGTAACCACGCCAGCCCAGGACATCCACATCCAGCTTCTTCACCTGCGGGATCGTCTGAGACCAGCCACGCGGACAGCTGATGAAACTGAGGAGTATTTCTGTCTGTATTTAAGCCCTTTTGTGGGGAAAAACACATTCTGATTGGTTGGGCCTATCTCCACAGTGGGTGGGCCTGGCTCCCAAGGGGGTGGACATATGCCCTCCCAGGACCACCCATGTCTGCACTCCTGCCCAGTCATGTGAAATCCATAGATTAGGGCCTAATGAATTTATTTCAATTGACTGATTTCCTTATATGAACTGTAACTCAGTAAAATCTTTGAAATTGTTGCATGTTGCATTTATATTTTTGTTCAGTATAGTATTCTGTAGAATTAGAATGATACATTTATGATTCACCCAGAGGTCCACTTTATGGATAGCTGCAATATTACTACACTATTACTACTCTACTACTGTGGGTTTTTTCTAATGGGAAATATTTAGTTACCTTCTAGAAATTAAAAGCATACACAGAATGGTAATGGATGTAGTGTACACATCATTGATTTGTTCTAGTTGGATTATTGTGCAACTGATGGTGGCCACCTTGTGGACATTGGATGACAGTACCAAATGTGGCCATTAATGGTATCTGCTGTTATCAAAATCATTTTCCCGCCCTCCAGCTAGTTTCTTTTAAACAAGACAACAGATACATATTGGCCTTTAGTTTTGATCAGGGCTCATATGTTAATGGATGGTTCTATGCTTGAGATAGACGTGTTATAAACTCAATAATGAGGGGGATATAATGTATACTATTTTGCAAGGAGGGGTTTGCCATTCTCTCTTTGGCGTCAAAGTGGATCCTTTTTACATGCACACTAAAGTATCAGATGTGTTACCAGTGTTTTCAGATACTATCTACTTCAGAGGTATTCAACGCTGGTTTTCTGTTCTACCTGATAGTTACAGCAATTGCACCCACCTGGTGTCCCAGGTCTAAATCAGTCCCTGATTATAGGGGAATGATGAAAAAATGCAGTGGAACTGGCTTCGAGGTCCAGAGTTGAGTTTGAAGGCTCCACAGTGCATTCGGAAAGTATTCAGACTCCTTGACTTTTTCCACATTTTGTTACATTACAGCCTTATTCTAAAATTGATTAAATTGTTTTTCCCCCTCATCAATCTACACACAATAACCCATAATGACAAAGCAAAAACAGGTTTTTAGAAATGTTTCAAAAAGTATTCAGACCCTTTACTCAGTACTTTGTTGAAGCACCGTGGGCAGCTATTACATCCTCCAGTCTTATTGGGTATGACGCTACAAGCTTGGCACACATGTATTTGGGGAGTTTTTCCCATTCTTCTCTGCAGATGCTCTCAAGCTCTGTCTGGTTGGATGGGGAGCGTCGCTGCACAGCTATTTTCAGGTCCCTCTAGAGATGTTCGATCGGGTTCAAGTCCGGGCTCTGGCTCCAGACGTGATGCTTGGCATTCAGGCCAAAGAGTTCAATCTTGGTTTCATCAGACCAGAGAATCTTGTTTCTCATGGTCAGAGTCCTTTAGGTGCCTTTTGGTAAACTCCAAGAGGGCTGTCATGTGCCTTTTACTGAGGAGTGGCTTCCATCTGGCCACTCCACCATAAAGGCCTGATTGGTGGAGTGCTGCAGAGACGGTTGTCCTTCTGGAATGTTCTCCCATCTCCACAGAGGAACTCTGGAGTTCTGGCAGAGTGACCATTGGGTTCTTGGTCACCTCGCTGACCAAGGCCCTTCTCCCCCGATTGCTCAGTTTGGCAGGGTGGCCAGCTCTAGGAAGAGTTGGTGGTTCCAAACTTCTTCCATTTAAGAATGATGGAGGCAACTGTGTTCTTGGGGACCTTCAATGCTGCAGAAATGTTTTGTTACTCTTCCAAAGATCTGTGTCTCGACACAATCCTGTCTCGGAGCTCTACGGACAATTCCTTCGACCTCATGGCTTGAATTTTGCTCTGAAATGTACTGTCAACTGTGGGACTTTATATAGACAGGTGTGTGCCTTTCCAAATCATGTCCAATCAATTGAATTTACCACAGGTGGACTCCAATCAAGTTGTAGAAACATCTCAAGGATGATCAATGGATACAGGATGCACCTGTGCTCAATTTCGAGTCTCATAGCAAAGGTTCTGAATACTTATGTTTTTAATAAATTAGCAAAACATTTCTAAAAACCAATTTTTGTTTTGTAATTATGTGGTATTGTGTGTAGATTGATGAGGAAAAATTATTAGAATAAGGCTGTAAGGTAACAAAATGTGGAAAAAGGGAAGGGGTCTGAATACTTTCCGAATGCACTGCAGATCTTATATAATGCATTATATAATACATCTAATATAATACAGGTGGAGTGTTGACATGAGCTTTAAGGATAGCATGGCCATGGCGTGACTGGCATAGTATCAAAAACACAACTCAGGCCAGTAGCTGAAACCTTAAATGGTTGAATCCGGACACTTTTGTGTTATTGCTAATTGTCAAACACTGTTATTAAATTGTCCTTGGCTGTTCATGGCTTCACATAAATCACAGATATTGGGGGTGCCCTTGTTCGAGTGGTATTTCACTGAAACATAACATCCTCCTGCACTGTCCCTTTAACCCTCACATCTGATTTACCACCCAAGAAGAGAGGGAGCTGGGAAAATTGATATACACTGAGTATACAAAACATTAAGAAGATTCCTAATATTGAGTTGCCCCGCCCACCACCTGGGTCATGGACTCTACAAGGTGTTGAAAGCGTTCGACAGGATTTAACAAGTTACATCAATAAGGGATCATAGCTTTCTCCTAGATTCACCTGGTCAGTCATTAGGTGTTCCTAATGTTTTGTACACTCATTAAGTGTAGAATTAGCACACAGCCAAGGTTGGACGGAGGGGACTTCACTACCATCAGCACAGTGGAGTCACAGAATCCCCACCCCCCTCATCTTCTCCTACTCCTCTCCTCCCCTCCTTTCCTATCCTTCCTCCCATCCTCTCCCCTTGATTATTCCACTGTTCCAAAGCATGTTGACAGCAGTATAGGGTTCTTCTGACTAGATAGATACCTCCTCTCCTCTCCTGTTTCCTCTCAGAAGAGTCAAAACTGATCTACTGTCACATTTCCAGAGAACGCTGTAGGACAGGCCAGAAGTACCTGTCTGTTTTTAGCCTCCAACACCACCACGCTTGTCTGATGTGTTCCACAGCATGTCACTTAATACACAACCGTCACCCCAGTTGGTGAAACCATCACAGAATGCTTCACACTCCCTGTGATCAGTGTTATTTCCTATTAGTTGCTGGTTGAAAATACAACCTACACAGGACCTTCAAGTGAGCCTGTTTGCATGAGCGGGAGTTTCGGTTTCCCTGGTAATATCACCAGGCGGTAAATTGGTTAATAGACCAATAACAAAGAGAGTTCCAAAACTCTCTGCCAATAACAGATCGTTTTAAGTTTTCCCCTCCAAACTCAGACCACTCGCATATAGTCCAAGCAAAATTATTGCTTAAGAAATAGTGGGTTTTTTTGCAAAAAAAGCTATTTTGGTCAATTTTAATGGAAATATATTACAGTATGGTACTTAATTGTTACCCAGAAATTATTTGATATTGACATAAAAACGGCTGCATTGGGCTTTCACAGATAGGATTTTAGGACAGTAATCTTATCCTAGATCTGTTTGTACATTGTTAAAGGGTTGTAGTAGGAGACTACACCTGAGTAAGAAACCCTGTCATGTGCGCCAACAGCAACCCCCACCCCTCTCCTTGAGTCTCGTATTCCCTGTCCAGTATCTGTTTCACATTGCGAAGTGATGGACATTAGCAGATGACACTTTGACATTCAAGTCTCACCAAGACCCGTGAGAGACCCTGTAAGCAGAAAGAGGATCCTGATTTTAATGTGAAATGTTTTGAATTTGATTGGCTTCTATGAGTACAGGCTCTCTCTACTCTGGCACACTGAGAAGAGAGAGAGAGAGAGAAAGAGATGCTCTGACAACTGGTGCTGTCCATGGTGCTGGACCTCTCACATTGAGAAAATTGATTATAATAAGCATGATGCTCCCTTGTTAATTATGCACCGCTAAATTACATTCTACATGAGTCCATTTCAATTACTCTTATCTACTCTTGTTGTAGCAGACTGGCAGACAGCACCGTGCCATTGGTAACAAGTATTATTTTTAGACATGGCAACAACAAAAAAAGAAAAAGAAGGGGGGCGTCTTTTCTGCTGATACTGCTGCAACTGTATATGATGTCTATAGGTAGCCTACACACCCTGGGTAAGGATACACTTTTCCCCCACGAAAAACAGTTTTACAGCTATAGTTATTGGTCCTATACGTCAACATTAGTGTCAACTGTCAAGGGGTGACAGATTTTGAAACCCTGGATGCCGTTCTTTCTATTTCAAGATTACGCTGAGCACAAAATCTCTGAGCACGTTCTCTAACTTGGAATGTCATCAACGTTGCTCTGCCGAGTGCGGATAGGAAGCCATTGAAAATAGATGAGAAGAACCTGCTACAATGGATACAATGGAAACGGTGGAATGTATCAGGATAGATCCAGATACTCTGACAATGCTAGAGGATGATGTGGACATCACTGAGGGAGTCTCCCAAATCAATGACGAGGTTGAGGATCTCCGCAACAGGTAGCAGCCTATATCCTACTTCATTTATGACATTCTGTACAGCCTACTAGAAGTGAAATCGGAGTCTTAATCTAAGGTACATTTGCAAAAAACCTTAGCCCCTCGTTCGTAGAGATCACATTAGTGTGGATGAATAGTTATGGAGAGAATTTAATTATTTGATAAATGATTGAAAATGATTGCACTGTCTGTGCATCCCACGTTGTCGAGATAAATCAGAGTTCAATTCATAGTAATCATGTCTTGTTATGAGTTCAGTAAAGTTTACTCTGTGCAAAAGGTCACATTCCCAGTGAGACAGACAGACAGACAGACAGACAGACAGACAGACAGACAGACAGACAGACAGACAGAGGGGCAGGGGGAGAGGGATCTTCACATACATAAGGCCTTTATTTCAAGTAATTCTTTATTATAATTTCTTGATGTGCCTCGAAATGTGAAAATGAACATTTGCCCCAGTACCTCACCATGTTATCTGTATTATCACGTCTCTTCCAGTTTGCGATTGGCGGTCCAGGATGAGGCAGTGCGTCCCAAGATGCAGTGCTTAATAATGGACCCTTCCTTCTCCATGGTTACAGTGCAGGGCGAGGACAGCGGCATCCAATGGGAGACCAGCTCCAGCCGCTGCTCCACCCCCTGGGGTTCCGAAGCTGAACCCACCCCTACCGTCGCATCGGAATTCTGCTTTCCCATCAACGAAAGGTCAGTTTCACCTGGATTAGGATCTGGAATGGCAGGTAAAATAACCTTTGTCATGGATGAGGCGATGATGGTGAGGAGGCCAAGGATGAAAATAAGTAGTGGAGGAGGATGCAGGAGCCGGGCTGACAGACGGAGACGGATTCCTCTGCCCACAGGTGATGACTTAGGTGAGGTCACTGAAAGAAATGAGGTAATGTCTGCAACTCTGATATGCTCAAACTGTAATCTATTGAGACACATTTTGCATATTTTTCCATCCTCAGGTAAGTTGGTTGAAAAGCCAGAGCTAGTGGAGGTGTCCCTGCCCAACGTGAGGGCAAAGGGAGATGGGGAGGAGGAGGAAACGACAGATCCCAAAGAGGAGAAGAAGCAGAATTTGTTCCGCCTGGTGTCAGAAGGCTCAGAGATCCTGAACATTGTGGTTCCTCCCAGGCTGGTGAGCATAGACGAGGAGGAGAGCCAGGGCATGGTGGACAACCTGTCTTACCTGGAGGAATCCACCTTCACCAAACCCAGTAACGAAACCATAGATGAGGTGAGAAACACAATTGAATTAGATCTGTAGACCTTACTCTGTGTATCCATCCATCCATCCATTCAGTCATTAATTCATTTATTTGCTCATTCGCTTCTTTGTTTATTAATTAACTCATCCATTCATTCAGGTGTTTGAGGAGGACAACGCACCACCAGAGGAGGGTGGAGATCAAACGGTGGAACATACTGAGTCCTCCCATCTCACCAGACCTGATCAGACTGACCCTCCCGGGGCTCCTGTGGCAAAGCAGCCCAGACGAGGAGCCACCAGTGACATGGACTACTTTGAGACATTTACTCAGATGGATGAGCCTGCTCCAGGAGGCCCCACCATAATCGAAGAAGGACAGGAGGATGAGGAGGCAGACTGTGGAGAGGAAAACCAGCAGGCGAGTGAGGAGCCGGAACAGCCCCAAGATGCCGCACCTGTGACCAAAGACCTGGGAGGTTCCAACACAGGCGTTAGCGGAGAAGAAATCTCCAGTGACCATCTGGATGAGGTGTTCTACGGCGGTATGGACGATATGCCTTCTAAGAACTATCTGGAAGTAGAGGAGGACGCAGTAGACAAGTCACCCAAGTCCCCCCTGAAGGAGAGTGGATCGGCCCTCTTCGGCAGCGAGGAGACCGTCCTCACCCCCATCTTCCTCCCCTCAGGACCCCCCAAAATCATCAACCCCACTCTGCTAGAAGAGCCTACGGCCATGGCCTTCCTTTACACAGACCTGTATGAAGAGGCGGTGGGCAGCAGGGAAGGAGTGAAGGAGGAAGACACTGAGAGTATGACCTCTGAAAGGTCCTTCCACAGCAGACACTCAGACCGGGAGGCCAGGGGGTACCTGGAGAAGTTTGTCCTGAAGGACGAGACTCCAATGGTAGAGCTGGAAGGGGAACCAGCAGTAGAGGAAGGCTTCAGAACTTGGGCACAGGAATTGTACACGCTGAACAACTTTCTCTCACACCCTGACGATGCAGTGACAAAAGGGGAGATCCAGGAGGTTGAGCATGACATGACAGATTTTTTCCGGACTAACGCCAGTTCCTCTCCATCTGATGATCGGTACATCCCATCACTGGATAAAGAAAAGAACCATGCAGAACCTGTGAAGGAGGACAAACATGTTAAGGCAGACAATGTTTTAAAGACGGTGCAGGAAGCACCTCAGCCTCAAGCGGTTGATGAACAGAAAACCCCAGAGGAGGAGAACAAGACTCAGGGCGTTGTCACAGATTTAAATGATACGCCACTCTCTGACCCAGAGTCTTCCTCTGAGGGGGCTGGTGGAGGGAGTGTCACTGAGCCCCACACAGACCTAGACCTCTCATTCAAACATGATGCTCCCACAGTGGAACTACAAACACTCCCATCTCTGAGTGACAGTGGAACCAATCAGGAAGCTCCAAAGCCAGTAGCCCCGCCTAGAAGGAAGCCAGCTGCACTTCCCAAGAGCTCTCTGAAACTAGCGCCACTGGCTCGAGCCCAGACCCCAGTTAAGATCCTGGAGGAGGGAGTAGGGGATGGAGGGAAGGAAGAGAGGGAGGAGGAGAAAGAGAAGGCTTCACCAGCTGAGACTGCTGATGAGGGAGAGGGGGATGGAGAGACGGGACAGAGGGAGGAGGAGAAAGATATGACATCACCAGTTGACAGCTCATCCTCATTTTACCAATCCCAGATTGCACTGGTCTCAAGTATAGCTACTGACCCAGCAAAAGAAGGAGGGAGCAAAAAGGCCTTAGAGACTGAACCAGTAAATGCAGAGGACAAAAAGACTGAATTGGCTGAAGGAAACACAGAACCACCTCAGGCTGAGGAGAGTGACAGCCCCAAGCCAGAGACTGACCCGGTATTGACAGGACAGGACAGTAAAACAGAACCAGCTAAAGGAGAGGCTGAACCAGCTGAGTCAGCTAAGCCAGAGGTTGAACCAGTGAAAGGAGGGGGCAGCAGTGAGACTGCATCAGCTACAACAGGACCTAGCCAGACCACTTCTTCCGCTCCTGCCCCAGTGACTGACCCAGCCAAAGATAGCGGCGGATGCATCATCCTTTAGCCTTATTTAGGGGGAAATTACTATATCCTTTTTAGTCTTATTGGCTTTATGCTGCAGCAGTTTGAAATTGAGAGGTCAAATTATGAATTGAAGAAAAAATGACAGAACTTCACCTTTTTTTCTCAACCTGGTCTCAGAGCATTTCGTATTATTTTGTATGTAAATCTGAGACACTCCATTTAATATGATATGTTACGGTTCGTATGGTATGTATTAATTGTGTGTCATCATAATGTCCATCACCCATTTCGTATGATATGTTACAAATTACAATTCGTATTATATTTTATGAATTAGCAAACGTACAATATGTTACGAATTTGCTAAATGTATGATATGTTATGAATTCTAGTTAGGTGGCTAGTGGCTAACATTAGCTAGCTGGCTAACATTAGGTAGGCTAGGGGTTAGGTTTAGGGGTTAGGGTTAAGTTTAGGAGTTAGGTTAAAGAGTTAAGGTTAGGGTTAGAGGAAGGATTAGCTAAAATGGTTAAGGTTAGGGTTAGGGGAAGATTTAGCTAACATGCTAAGTAGTTGCAAAGTTTTTCTTTGACAAAATGTTTTAAAAAGGTATAATCTTTGTAAATGATGTTATCGGTAGGACTGGTGGAGTTATGTCGCACATGCAGCTAACAAAAACATATGGAAATGTCTGCTCTTCCCAAAATTACAACCAAATAATTGCAGCCTTACCGCAAAAATGGAAGAGGAAAGTGGAAGGAGGAGAAAGTAAGGAACTTGTCTGTCGGCCTTGCATTAAAGAACATAATTGGTTAAGGAAAACTGTGATAAATAAAAAGGTATATCAGTTTAATTTAAGGACCAAAGGATTGACAGCCGTCCCATATAGATTGCAAAATAGTTGGGAAGAGATTTTTGACGTACCGATCCCATGGCATAGTGTTTATGAACTGATACGCAAAACGACACCGGATTCAAAACTTAGAGTCTTTCAATTTCAATTATTATATAAAATTATTGCTACCAATAGAATGTTATTTATATGGTGGATACAATCTTCCCAGCTCTGCAGATTTTGCTGCGAAGAGACAGAATCATTAGATCATTTGTTTTGGTACTGTCCATTTGTAGCTTGTTTTTGGACACATGTCCAGGAATGACTAAAGGATTGCAATATTTACCTGGAGCTAACCCTGCAGATAGCACTACTGGGTGATCTGAAAAGTCATAGTCAATCGATCAATAACATAATAATACTATTAGCAAAAAAAATTATTTTCAATTCACAATCTGCAGAAACAATGAGAATAGAAAGGTTCAGAACTTTTGTAAGACATCACAGTACAGTTGAAATATATATGGCAAATAGAAATCCTATATGGATGGTGTTAAAATATAGATGGGAGGTGTTGAATGGAATTGAAGGATGGGACTAATAACAACAAACAATAACAAGATAACTAATAATGTAGGCACGCTGTGTCCATAATAAGTGTATGGGTTGTAGGTTGGGAGCTTTTGTGAAGGAGCACAGTTAGAAAGATATGGCATATAGAAGCAAACCGGATGGACATCATGAAAATGATCGGAGAGGTTGAGAGTAGAAGACGTTCAGGAGAAAGAACAAACAAAATGTAATTACTGTAAAATTGACTGTGTCCATAAAATGTAGATAGTGGGTATGGGCTGGAAGTAGAGGCCTAGGCGTTGTTGTTCACTAGTTTACTCCAAGTGGGGAAAGGGTGGCGGGGTTGGAAAGTAATAAAGGGGAATATATCTATTTTTTTTAAGGATATGTATGTGTATGTATGTATGTATGTATGTATGTATGTATGTATGTATGTATGTATGTATGTATGTATGTATGTATGTATGTATGTATGTACAGTGGGGAAAAAAAGTATGTAGGCAGCCACCAATTGTGCAAGTTCTCCCACTTAAAAAGATGAGAGATGCCTGTAATTTTCATCATAGGTACACGTTAACTATGACGGACAAATTGAGAAAAAAAATTCCAGAAAATCACATTGTAGGATTTTTAATGAATTTATTTGCAAATTATGGTGGAAAATAAGTATTTGGTCACCTACAAACAAGCAGGATTTATGTCTCTCACAGACCTGTAACTTCTTCTTTAAGAGGCTCCTCTGTCCTCCACTCGTTACCTGTATTAATGGCACCTGTTTGAACTTGTTATCAGTATAAAAGACACCTGTCCACAACCTCAAACAGTCACACTCCAAACTCCACTATGGCCAAGACCAAAGAGCTGTCAAAGGACACCAGAAACAAAATTGTAGACCTGCACCAGGCTGGGAAGACTGAATCTGCAATAGGTAAGCAGCTTGGTTTGAAGAAATCAACTGTGGGAGCAATTATTAGGAAATGGAAGACATACAAGACCACTGATAATCTCTCTCGATCTGGGGCTCGACGCAAGATCTCACCCCGTGGGGTCAAAATGATCACAAGAACGGTGAGCAAAAATCCCAGAACCACACAGGGGGACCTAGTGAATGACCTGCAGAGAGCTGGGACCAAAGTAACAAAGCCTACCATCAGTAACACACTACGCCGCCAGGGACTCAAATCCTGCAGTGCCAGACGTGTCCCCCTGCTTAAGCCAGTACATGTCCAGGCCCGTCTGAAGTTTGCTAGAGTGCATTTGGATGATCCAGAAGAGGATTGGGAGAATGTCATATGGTCAGATGAAACCAAAATAGAACTTTTTGGTAAAAACTCAACTCGTCGTGTTTGAAGGACAAAGAATGCTGAGTTGCATCCAAAGAACACCATACCTACTGTGAAGCATGGGGGTGGAAACATCATGCTTTGGGGCTGTTTTTCTGCAAAGGGACCAGGACGATTGATCCGTGTAAAGGAAAGAATGAATGGGGCCATGTATCGTGAGATTTTGAGTGAAAACCTCCTTCCATCAGCAAGGGCATTGAAGATGAAACGTGGCTGGGTCTTTCAGCATGACAATAATCCCAAACACACCGCGCGGGCAACGAAGGAGTGGCTTCGTAAGAAGCATTTCAAGGTCCTGGAGTGGCCTAGCCAGTCTCCAGATCTCAACCCCATAGAAAATCTTTGGAGGGAGTTGAAAGTCTGTGTTGCCCAGCAACAGCCCCAAAACATCACTGCTCTAGAGGAGATCTGCATGGAGGAATGGGCCAAAATACCAGCAACAGTGTGTGAAAACCTTGTGAAGACTTATAGAAAACGTTTGACCTGTGTCATTGTCAACAAAGGGTATATAACAAAGTATTGAGAAACTTTTGTTATTGACCAAATACTTATTTTCCACCATAATTTGCAAATACATTCATTAAAAATCCTACAATGTGATTTTCTGGATTTTCTTTTCTCATTTTGTCTGTCATAGTTGACGTGTACCTATGCTGAAAATTACAGGCCTCTCTCATCTTTTTAAGTGGGAGAACTTGCACAATTGGTGGCTGACTAAATACTTTTTTCCCCCACTGTATATATATATATATATATATATATATATATATATATATATATATATATATATATATATATATATACATATATACATACATACATACGAATACATACGAATATGAAATCACAACCTTTGGGTTGCTAGACGTTCACGTTATATGCCCACCCACCACCCCAACTAACCACCCTACTTTCATTTTTGCCTTAAGTAACATCTCTCTTATGTAACCATACTAAACGTAACATATAGTATTACACTAATTTTAGTGTCCCGGATTTACATTTACTATGTTACGTCTAGTCTATGATACCAGGTTGTTTTTCTGGGTATTTATTTGTATGCAATCATGTTTGTTTTACCATTTTAAAACAGTAGCACAGTAGAACTTTTTGGCCTGGTTTCCCACTTTTAATGGAGATTCTCCAAATCAAATCAAAAATCAAATCAAATTTTATTGGTCACATGCACCGAATACAACAGGTGCAGACATTACAGTGAAATGCTTACTTACAGCCCTTAACCAACAGTGCATTTATTTTAAACAAACAAGTAAGAATAAAACAACAACAAAAAAGTGTTGAGAAAAAAAGAGCAGAAGTAAAATAAAGTGACAGTAGGGAGGCTATATATACAGTAAAATAAAGTGACAGTAGGGAGGCTATATATACAGGGGGGTACCGTTGCATAGTCAATGTGCGGGGGCACCGGCTAGTTGAGGTAGTTGAGGTAATATGTACATGTGGGTAAAGTTAAAGTGACTATGCATAAATACTTAACAGAGTAGCAGCAGCGTAAAAAGGATGGGGTGGGGGGGCAGTGCAAATAGTCCGGGTAGCCATGATTAGCTGTTCAGGAGTCTTATGGCTTGGGGGTAGAAGCTGTTGAGAAGTCTTTTGGACCTAGACTTGGCACTCCGGTACCGCTTGCCGTGCGGTAGCAGAGAGAACAGTCTATGACTAGGGTGGCTGGAGTCTTTGACAATTTTGAGGGCCTTCCTCTGACACCGCCTGGTATAGAGGTCCTGGATGGCAGGGAGCTTTGCCCCAGTGATGTACTGGGCCGTACGCACTACCCTCTGTAGTGCCTTGCGGTCAGAGGCCAAGCAGTTGCCATACCAGGCGGTGATGCAACCAGTCAGGATGCTCTCGATGGTGCAGCTGTAGAATTTTTTGAGGATCTGAGGACCCATGCCAAATCTTTTTAGTCTCCTGAGGGGGAATAGGCTTTGTCGTGCCCTCTTCACGACTGTCTTGGTGTGTTTGGACCATGATAGTTCGTTGGTGATGTGGACACCAAGGAACTTGAAGCTCTCAACCTGTTCCACTTCAGCCCCGTCGATGAGAATGGGGGCGTGCTCAGTCCTCTTTTTTTTCCTGTAGTCCACAATCATCTCCTTTGTCTTGGTCACGTTGAGGGAGAGGTTGTTGTCCTGGCACCACACGGCCAGATCTCTGACCTCCTCCCTATAGGCTGTCTCATCGTTGTCGGTGATCAGGCCTACCACTGTTGTGTCGTCGGCAAACTTAATGATGATGTTGGAGTCGTGCCTGGCCATGCAGTCATGGGTGAACAGAGAGTACAGGAGGGGACTGAGCACGCACCCCTTAGGGGCCCCCGTGTTGAGGATCAGTGTGGCAGATGTGTTGTTACCTACCCTTACCACCTGGGGGCGGCCCGTCAGGAAGTCCAGGATCCAGTTGCAGAGGGAGGTGT